TCGACAAGGAGAACGATGCCATCGTTGACAGCTGGTTGCGTAGCGATGATGGTTGGAGTGTGCGTATTGATAAAATGGAAGTCAGCCAGTGCCGCGAAATGTTAGCGTCCTATGTGCAAAAGCATGGAACACAGTTTCCAATGTACGTCGGCAAAGAAGAGGATACTGCCGTACGTCGGCGTCTCTCCTTTTATCTTTTGCAACACATGGTGACCACCTTCGATGCCCTGCACTGCACCGAGCTGCCGGCGTTTTTGTTCCGTGTTCCGCACCATCCATGGGAGCAGGAATGACTATTCGCTTAGTTGGTTATTTTACATTCTCTGTGATACTTGTTCGTTAAGTGTACTTGTACTTTATGTATTGTCAGTAAAATGATTGCGTTTGCTCATGGTTTACATCAAAGCGTTATTATCGTTTAACATGTTTTTATGGCGTAACTGGTCATTTTGTTTATAAGCATTTCGTTTTTTATCTTTTATAATTTTGTATATGTAGGACGCCGCTTTATGCCCAAAGACAGTTGCGAGCGTTAAGTAACATTTTACAATGGTGAGCCGTCTGCACTTTTGTATGTCTTCATTGCATTTTTAAGGACAACGGTGACATTGTCAAACTCATCAAGCTTAGTAGCAAATCATCGAAGCGGTTTGAGCCATCCAAGGACGTTTCCGACCTGTTTTACGACAATGTCAACAAGAATGTGTGCACACTGCACGCAAGTGGCATCTTATGTTTCAGTTCTTACCATTTACTTGCTGGCAATAAAACTGCCGAGATCAGGTGATGAACCGAACTAAATTGTAATCAGCTGATTTGCACGTTTCTCCTTGGTTGCTTCAGGCTGAACGTAAAACGACCGGTTTTCTCAGTGAAAGTGTCTCCCAATGACAAAATCGTTGCTGTTCAGACAGAACGCACTTCTGTGGTGAGACACGACAATATGAACTTTCTTTGAAGTTCAGATTTTAGTCTTCCTGCTGTTTCACGTTCGCCTGACGTTTTTTTTTACATTTCAGACGTTGTTTAACATCCACGATGAAATAGTAGGCGAACAGACGTGCGTGCAAAAATGTAAAGCGAAGGACGCGTCAATTATAGGAGTCGAATGGCTCTCTGCGATGGAGGTACTCTTCTTGACGTCTTCTTCTTTAGAGACGTATCAGGTAGATTTTGGAAGACAACTACCATTGTTGATTCTATGCTTCAGATGGCCCCTAGCCGTCGTAATTTAAAGTTAGCACGGTCGTATAATGCAGCGATCAGCTGGTACATTTATTCGGTTAGTAGTTTGGTTATGCCTTGTTGAGATTATCAGGCTCATAATTTAATTTTCATAATTAATAATGCTTGATTTTAGCACGAATCTCAGCTAGTCGTCTGCTGTCTGAAAGAGACCACGCCACGTTTAATGGCGTATTTTGCCAAAGTTTGTTATCCCACCGATCGTGTGATCCACCAATTATAATCATGTTTTATTTTTAAGGATTGCAGCCTTATCCGAATGCCCAAAATAGCTGTCGATCCACGAATTATGCAGTCGGTTTCCAAAAGCGATGTTTCGGTTGCTAAACTGTGAGTTCATCGTGTTTTTGCTTAATAAAAGCAATGGTTTTAAATTTGAAAATGGCAGTAGCTATTTATAACCATCACTCACTGACTGAAAACTGGGGAACGCAGGCTAGCGTAGTATGGCACATTGTTGCTGTTATTTTGTCATCGCCTTTTGAGATTAGCAGAGCTTAAGCAGCGGAGTGTCCTGAATTTATTCTTCAGAAATGATATTTCAGATTGATATTGCCCAACGTTCACTGCTTGACAAAGATTGTAATCATTTTCGTAAGCAAATCTGCCTCAAAGAGCTGCTTCCACCTTTTTATTGCCTTCCAACGCGTCTACGGCCTGTTAAATCTTCCCAAGCGAGAAACGCTTGGAATATATTTCCATTCATTTTTTGTGCCACTTTATCAAACCAAGGCAAGCGCCGGTCCCTGCATTTATCTGGTAGTTTTTTTTCAGACCAGTGGTCGTCAGAGACTGTTCGTTCGTGAGTCAGTGGTGCTGCGGCATCTGAGGATACTGCACTTGCAGCGTTTTTGGAAGCTGTCTAAGCGAGGTTCTTGACTTTCAGGACGGCAGATGTTTCGAGACCGTACATAAGCACCGCGACTATGGCTGCTTTCATAATAATGATCTCGTTCCCTTTCTTATAGACTGATCCTTCCGTATGTCCTACAGCTTGTCATAATTCGCTGATGTTAGTCCAGTACACTGGTTCACTTTATGATCAGTGTCGCTATCGTTAGTTAACACAGTTCCGAGGTACTTGAAATGGTTCACCTCGTCTATCGTTTCCAACAGCTGACGGTTGCTGCGGGCGCTCTGATAATCTTTGCCTTCTTGGTGTTGACTTGTAATCGCACTTTCATAGCAGTGCTGCTCTGTAAATGTCGGTAGATCACTTATGTGTTGCACTTTGATTGAGCATAAAGATGTACTGAAAAACGTATAGTCTGAGGTTTTAGCACATCTAATCGAGTTTCGGCATGTCTCAATGGCTAATTAGCAGTGACGCTGCAGAAATGTTTTCACTGAGATGTCTTTAGGAAAATTTACAAATAATTATTCCTCCAATATTAATTTTACAGTATAGCAAAACATGCATATTGTATTCTCCTACTGACCGACAGTTCTGAATATGAACCAACGATAAACTGCTGTGTAGCATTTGATAATTTATTACGCATATTCTGTTTAGTTATGATAACACTTGAAGCAGCAGAACATCTATAGATTTCGTGCAGTCGATGTGAATTTAATCTTTATTGACAACCAGTAAGAGAACGTTAACGCGTCTATTTTTCCGCAAGCGTTTTGGCAAAGTAACATTGATAATTCTCACGGCAAACAACTGTAACATTGCTTATGCCGAGAATGGCAAATGTTGTTTGGCCGACGTGTTACCAGTAAAATAAATGCTTTAACATCGGTCTTCTGGTTTATGTCGGTAACCATTGATATCATATCATTTAGGTTATTAGAAGGAAGTGGAATAGTGCGACTAAATCTGTAAATCCTAAGAAGTGATCGAAGATTGTTATTCTTACCGACGGTATCAAAAACTAACATTTTGGTGGCATACCGATACTTTTGCGTTAAATTTTTATTTTCTGTGCCTAGGATCGAAGTATATCTGTTACAGATTCTATCTTGTACATGTTTTCGTTGGACCCAACAAAGGGAAGCTCTTTTGTGCTGATGCATTGCAATATTTAGGATCGATTGCTTGTTTAAGTGGTCTTTTAGACGACTAGAAGCAGCGTGACGATGCAAACACGGCGAGACTGCGTTGTGTTAACCCGGAGAAATGACAAGAGGCACATAACTTATATTGAAAAGGGAGACAGAATCCCAACAGAGGTCTTGATTTGAAGTCAGTTGTAAGACCACTTCTCGTGAAAGAGAAAATTATGGGTTCAGTTCATGTGGGTTGCGTATGAAACAGCTTTGCAACGTCACTTCTACTCCGACATTATTTGCGGCTATTCCTGATTATTGGCTTCTGAGACACTACTGGTGACGAGTAAGGTATTGCTCTAGCTAATGAATGGTGTAAGATCCATCGACAAAGACACGTTTCGTTGTCCGTTGTTCTTTGTTTGCTCTAAGTCCTAAATCAAATAGATTCGACGGTTAGTAAATTCTTTAAAATTCAATATTGGTATCATGAGCAACTATGTCCAAACCATCAGAAACCCTCACAAAACCCCTGATTAATGTATGACCTGAGACATGTTCACCATAAGTAGCCTCCTTTGTCAAATTCTTTAATCGTGCCTTGCTTCACTTTTGAAAGATTCTTACTGAGTGGTATTTAAAAGGAAGTAATAATAGCCCTTAATTTGTGTGAAAAGACTAATACTGTATGTTCTGAGCTGGAAATTCGTGACAGGGAAAGAAAATGAAGGCTGTGAACTGAAAAAATAGATTGTGTGGAATTTTATTTCGTCCATGACACAGTGCACGAAATATACGATGTGAAAGAGCATCACAACGAATGATCTTTTTGTAAGGTGGTTCTTATAGGTATGGGATCTCGTACGTCTTAGTGATGGTGCGCGCCCCGCATTACACAAGCAGCGACAGCGAAATCCACCTTTACCCAGTTAAGCAGTAAGAGAATTTCATCGCTTAACTACCCAATATTAGATTATTTTTTAGCGATACGTCTTCATCTGTGATCACCGTGTCGCACGTGTTGGCCTGTGAGAAAGTCGGAAAAATAGCGCTACACGCCGTCGACGATTTGATTTTGTTTCACAGACAAAGTTCTAAGGTGATCAGTCGTGTCTAAATGGTAGACATCGTTGAAACAACTGGTCTTATAGGATTCACTCGTGTTCGACATCCTTGAACATTCAAATGTTGGAGAAACCTTCCGTATCTGTCGCCCATTTTGCCGCTCTTCGATCAGCGCTCAGCCGGAGGAAGAATTGGATTTGTGTAAGGACAAGTTTAGCCCACCCCCAGTCCTTCAATTTAAACTGAACTTACTTTCAACGCACGTAAATTTACGCTGCATCTTGTGCTGAATGTCAATCGAAAACAAGTGGGCAAAGCGAATTGCAGTCGTAAGGCGCACGCATTAGGCTTCGTAGTGGTACGTTTCACGCTTCTGACAGTAACATCAGAAAACTGTTGCTCATAAATCCATGCTAGCTAACTGTTTCTAAGCTGATTAAAGCGAAGTACAATGGGATGAGTCCCTTGCAATATATATGGAAGGTTATAAGCAATTTATATGGAAAATTAATACGTCATGCTTAGAGTTCTAACGCGGTGCTCCGTAAATGCACAACAAACTACTAATTCATTGCACCGCTTTCCTCTAACCCCCTGGCCTATGAATTTTTTTTAAGTTAATGTTCTTTAAAATGTTTGGTAATCATTTCGAATAATATATATTTAAGCGAACAAAATAATAAGAGATTACGATACTCCTTCACCATAGGATTATGGTTCATTTTGTATGACTATTTTTGCGCCTTACGAATCTGACCTACAATCCTGTGTCTAGAAGGTAGTCATCATGGTGCATTACTTTACTGTATTGGAACCAGTGTACTTTGTGTCCATTTTCAGATGCCATATTGTTTTCAGATGTCACATGGGTCTTATTTTGGACTTTTTTCAAGGCACGGTTATACCATTACATCCTTCTTCGGTAGCCATTCTTTCCTGAAACAACACAGGAACCTTTCTCTCTGAATGTTTTTTTTGGGTTTAAGAAATG